GAGCCAAGAGCTCACCAGGGACCAGGTACCCAGCATAACCTCCTCCAGCATGAAAACCTGTTACAGCTTGCATAGAGTGAGATGAGACCAACAGAAATTGTAACAGCCATGAACAGTAGGATAGATTTTAAGTCAGGAGGTAAGTAATTTAATCAAAATGATTCCACCAAGTGTGAGAAACTGCCGGCTCTTCTGTGAGAGATCTCACTGCCATGCAGTCTTCTAGCACCAACACATACACCTCTGCAGAAATATGGCAGATCTCAGAGGAAAATGAAAAGGTGAGTCAGAATAATGTGGGTTTTTTTAACATTACTCAGTATAAACCAGTGCTGGATAATACAATCCTATCTTCCAAGACATCACCAGCCACAGGTACTAGCCTGACCATACAGTCGTCAGTATAATAAGATCTTTACAGATGAAAAAGGAGGACACGATTAGCCTCTCTGAGCTTTTTAAAACGTATGAATTCAGTATCTCTCTAAATGAAAAAAGGCAAACCTAGGAGTTTGACCAGTCAAGTGCAAATAACTACACAGCTAAGAAAGGGAAGTGAAAAACAGACTTCTTGGGATATGAAGATGTTTGCCAAGATTAAATTGCAGGTTCTCTTTGCAGGTTCTGTAACACTTGCTCAACACCAAAAAAGCTATTTTAATTTTAGCTTCCTTTTTAGGAAGCTTGGAATAGGACTAGAAAGGATATAAAATAAGTTGCAGGTTTAATCTTTTCTGTAAATATTCTCCTATCAAAGCACTAAGCCTTAGACATATAATGGGACAAACAGATATTATTAATGGTTTTAGTTTTGTATTTCAGGCATGTGTTTACCTCAATATGACAGAAATACCTCAGACAAAATTTACAGTAGCAGTTTCCCAAACCAAGTAATATTTATTCCAAACATATCTTAAATTACCCAGCTTTACTTTGTTGTATTTTGAAGGGCTATATATATTTTCTAAACAAAGCAGCTTTTATACCTTATTTGTTTCCTTTCAAACCGAAAGCTTAGTATCATGAAAATTTACAATTCTTAAAAAATTTATGAGTATCATATTACCTTTTATTTCCTAAACTAAATTTATTTTCTCATAAAGGAATAAGAATGCTTTTGAAGCAATCTAGGAATAAGCCTGGTGTTATTTATGGAGAGTAGTCACAGAAGAAGGTTGTCACCCAGACTTTAAATAGCAATCCTGAGAAAGCCCCACATCAGTATGTACAAAAGCAGAACCTTATAAATCAGTTCATTTGCAAGCAAGCTAACATTTTGGGACTCAAAACACCTGAATCTTGCTGAGCCCAGTTAACAATTATTCTTGTTCCCGAAGTAACGTATCACACATGATCCACTAAAATGCAACACACAGTTCAGGAATAGGTAAGTACCAAAGACAGTGAGTGGAGAGAAGAGGGAGGAGGTGGAGGAAAGGAAAGGGCAAACAGATACCAATTGCCACACTCAGCGAGGGGCTGGCACTTTCCAAGCTCAGCACAAAATTCTCCTCTTCCTGGTGTCTTGTTTTTTGCCAGAGTGAAGTGCTGAGCTTGGCAAGAGAGTGCACAGCAAGAAGAGCAGAAATCGCATCAGCTCAACCATGGAAAACTTCTCTGGCCAAAACAAAAAAGAAGGGCTGGAAAACCCCAGATCATAAGCACAAGTTGCCCACCAACCTCAGTGGAGGAGCAGAATCCTGGCAAATGAGGTTCAGAAGTGTTAACA